TAAAGATGATGGCGAGTGGTCTAGCAATGACTTCCGCCAGTTCCCTCAGCACCCGCGGGTGCATCCCATCTGGACCCATGGATTTATGGATGTCCAGATTGCTCAACTGATCTCTAACCCATTCCTCATCGACTAAGGCAAGTCGCTCCGTCGACCTGACTTCATCTAAGGTCTCAGGGGTACAGGGCTCTTCAGGACTGCCTGCGGCAGAGTAGACAGAGACAAAGAAGGCATTCAGTAACTCTGCCATCTCTGTATCTTCTGTCACCAGGGCACCCATCCCGTTCATCAGTGGGCCTACATTGCCTCTGGTGTTAGTTTTGTCTGCCATGTACTTGAAAAAGCTCTTTTTGCTGTTCTTGACCCTTCTTGCCAGGTTTAATTCTAAGGAAGCCTTAGTCCTCCTAGCTGCCTTCCTACATCCCCTAGCAGCAGCCTTATATTCCTCCCAAGTGGCCAGCCCCTCCTTCCATGACCTGTAAACTCTCCTCTTCCACTTGAGCATACCCAGCAATTCCCTATTTAGCCACACAGGTCTCTTGGCCCTCTTCCTTGACTTCCTACGTGTCGGGATGCTCCGATCTTGAGCTCGGAAAAAGCAGTCCTTGAATGTCAACCAACTATCTTGGGCCCCTTTTCCTTCAAGCAGCCTTGCCCACGGGATTTCCCCTAGCAATTGCTTGAAAAGGCCAAAGTTTGCCCTGCTAAAGTCCAGGGTTGCAATTCTACTTGGTATTCTACTAGTCCTACCACACAAGATCCTGAACTTCACCATCTCGTGGTCGCTGCAACCAAGGCAGCCCTCTACCCTTACTGCTTCAACCAGACCCTCCTTGTTAGTGAGGATGAGATCCAGCAGCGCTCCTCTCCTGGTCGGCTCATCCACCATTTGCAGGAGGAAGTTATCATCCACACACTGGAGGAACCTCCTGGACTGCGGCTGGGTTGCCGAGTGGTCCTTCCAGCAAACATCAGGGAAGTTAAAATCCCCCATGACGACCACAGCCTGTGACTGTGAGGCCTCTCTCAGCTGCCTGCCTCATCAACTTTAATCATGATTTAAATCAGCGAGTGGGAAGCCTTGATTTAAACCCATTAACCTTGTTTTGCCTCATAGTTGTGGTAGGAGCAGTGGGCAGAACAGCCCCTCTCCCTGGAGGGCAAGAGGATACAACTTCCATGCCCAGTTAATTTCAAGACATTTTACAAGTAGAGTTGCCAAATGCTTCTTCTAAACCATAAAACAAACTCCAAAGCCTCACATGCCAGAGCCACCTACTCTCTTGTCAGTCATCTGCTTTAGCAATCGGGCTGATACTCACCCAACATCTTTTATTTACATCTCAGCAAGGTTTCTCTGCGTACACAATACAGCCTGACTCTGCAGCGTGGCTTTTGAATTGCTCCAGCCCTCGCAGCCCACGAGACCGTTCTCCTACTTAATCCTACAGACACTGTTCAAAACAAGAACTGGAGTCCTCATTCTCTAGCACTGCTCTCTTCAGTTCCTCCCCAACTTCCCACTAAACAAATATTTATCCCTTAAACATGCTGCAAGGTCTGCAGTGCTCTGCTCTTCTGTGCACTACCCCAATTAGCCTTTGCCCTCCCCAAATAAGAGACTTGAAAGATGGACAGTCTACACTGCAAAGTGATTTATGAAGTTATCCCAAACTCGGGTGTATCACCTTAACATTCTCTTTCTGACACTCAACAAAGTAATTCTGCTTTACAGGAAATCTGGTTTTGAGATCTCCAGATCTAAAAGTACAAGTTCCACTGGCTCCGGGGGTGTCTCCTTTTTAGTGAGGACACAAGAAAGGAATTCGTCTATGCCCCAAATATGGAAAAAAGGTATTTTGTCCTGAGCAGGGAGTCACAGAACAACGACGACACAGGAATGCTGAAGCAGCCCATCCTACACTCCCAGCAGAGACATTTTTAGCACCTGCCACAAAAGACAGCCTCTAATCTAACAATATTATACACCTCTCAAACCCAAACAGACCACAACACACCTTCTCTCTGCAGTAACCACGATGAAAATGCCAAGTCAAATGTTGTACTTTTCTATTAGCAGAAGTATGATCCGATGACCAAGTCCAACCTGCTTGCAGCTGAAACGCAGACCTGTACCTGTCAGCGGAAGCGTTGCCCTGAATTCCCTCCTAAAACGACATTCCTTCCCACCAAGACAAGTTTCCACAGCCAAGAGAACATGATTCTGCCGTCCTAAATCATTAGGTTGTGATGAAAACAAGGCAATGTATCCTACTGCAGACCAGAACAGTTTCCCCCAGTGAAATAAAGCATCTCTGTACAGTCATAGAATGGTTTGGGTTGGAAGGGACCTTACAGATCATCCAGTTCCAACCCCACTGCAACAGGCAGGGACACCTACAACAAGGTTTCACCTCAGTTCTGAAACACTGATTTTTCTCCCAGACTGCCAGGTCTGTGAATCTTATTACTTGGTGGGAGGCAGTGACACACAATCTGATAAGCTTTCCTATTCACTATGCAAAGACCCACACATCCGCAACAATGCGACTTTCACAGCAGCTGCTTCCAGAGCAGAGAGCAGGATCCCCCTTCGATGCAGCCAAGACAACGCACATTACATCCCATACTCTTCCTTAAGCAGTTCTGAAAAACAGCAACAGACCTTACGTTCAAAACTTAAGCTTTTGAAAACTGTGATCTTGAGAGCCATGCAACCACAGACCACATCTACTTGCAAGAGACATAACCTGAGGTCTGGGACCATCAAACGCTAAACAACAGCAAGAAAATCATCCTTCTGCTTACCACAGTATGAGCACATTTTGTTGTGAGGACTAACCCTAGAGAAAGCATCTTTTTGGGGGAGAAAGAGAAGTCAGAGCACCCAAACACACTTTAACACACTGGAAACATGGCTCTTCCTGCAGGTGTGAGATCAGGGCAAGGCAGCAAACTCACGCTCTGTACTCCGCTCTTCTGCACACCCTTTGCCTGCTCCTCGCTGCACAGCAGCTGGTAAAGGAAACGTGCTGACAAGGTGCAGAGCGCTGCGGCAGCAGCAACTGGAAATGACTGCCGACTGTAACCCAAGGCACAGAGCCAGCACACACTAATTCTCTGATAAAGTTTCCTATTCCTCAGCTTTGTTTAGAGTAGGCAATTTATATATATAGCCCCTGCTATGGTACATCTCACATCCCTTCACAACACAAGTAGCTGCAGGTTTCCTCCGGCAGCTACAGAGCTCCCGAGCAGCTCTGCAACGACCCATCTTCTGCCCTGCCTAAGACAGGTTTGGGTTTATTTCCCCCACCTTTCATCTCGGTGGGGTGAGCTGGAGGAGGTCATCAGTTATTGCCACCCCTGCTCATGTAAAAACTGGTCTGGTATGAAGCAGGATACAGAGGTGCACGCACGGATGAGAAAGAAACATCACTGAGGTAACAGCTCAGAGGCGGGTTTCAAAAGCGGTTACCCAGGAAGCCACACAGCCTGTCTGCCCTCACCAGTGGCGACGTCCGGGTACACGTGCCACAGGTGTGACAGCAAAGGAGGGCAGCAAGGCCAAACTCCATCTGGTCCTGGCACAGTGTGTCCTATGTCCAATGCCCTCCTTCCACAGCCCAAAGGAAAGAAGAGCCGAGCTCAGAAACACTTGGCTGAAATGCTCAAACCACATTTGCCTCCCCAGCTGAAAGACACTTATTTTCCCTCCTGTTTCTACCTCAGCAGGGGGGGTTATGTCTTGCTTGAGACTCCTCTACCCCACAAACCAAGCCCAGTACTCACTAAAGGAAGTACAAACCAGCTTTTCCTTTTTCTGCTGTCTCCGGTATAACCTTCTCTCTGGCACCCAGGGAGCAGCACACACTCCATGATCCTTGGAAGGAGCAACAGAGACAAGAGAGCTCTTCCCTACAGACAAACATAGCCTGCAGTCGCAGCCAGAAACCGGCTGACACAAGTGATCCAAGGGGTTAGTCAGAAACGTGACTCAGTGTGAGAGACTCCCTCACTGAAATCCTTGCAGAGAAGGGCCCGGTTGTGCTCCCAGGACAAGGAAAAGCGGACAGGAAGTTTCAGGATGTGAAGCATTGCTGCTCCAAAGTGATCCAAGGTTGGCTTCTGGTCCAGAGCAAAACACCCCTCCTGACACACCTGCAGCACGACGAGAGTCGGTGAGACGGCACAAGGAAGAGCCACCACCAGTGTAAGCAAGGTTACCTTTGAACAGCACCCCACAGGCTGACAGCTGTGCAGACACCCTTGTGTCCTAGAAAAGACCTGGGCTGACCGGATGCAACGGGTGAACGGAGCACAGAAACACAGCGGTGAGCCGAGGAGACAAGGGAAGACGACAGCTGACAAGTGTCCACCGAGCACACATCCCCGTGCTGCACGTCCCGGCAGCATCCCAGGGGACAGCAGCCGGTAACGCGGCTCTTCAGACGGACGGCAAGCGCCATCCCACCCCGAACTCCTGCTCTTGCGCGCCAGGTCCCGCCACCTCCTGCTGCCGCCCGACCCAACCCCTGCCACTGCGGGACCGCGTCCCTCTGCTCCGCGATGGGCACCCGAGGCGCGGGGCCGGGCCCCGCTGCCACCGGCAACACCGACCCCACACCGGCTCCCGCCTTCCCTTCACAGAGCGGAGGAGCCCGGCCCGTCCCCGCCAGGGCCGGGGAGCTCAGCGGGACGGGACAGGCCGCTACCGCCACCGCTCTCCCTGCCAGCGCCTTCCAGCGCGGCCCGGCCCGGCCCGGCCCGGCAGCAGCACGCGGCGCTGCACCGCCGGCACCGGGTCCCAAGAAACGCCGCCGCGGCTCGGGCCGGCGCAGGCCGCGGGGCGGGAGAGCGCGTCCCGATCCCCTACCGGGAGCCCCGGACACGCGGAGAGACCGCGTCGGGCCCGCGAGGAGGAGAACGAGGACGAGAGGGAAGGAGAAGGGAACGGGGCAGGGGCGCGCGCCCGAGAGCAGAGCCCAAAGGAAAGTTACCGGAGCGGCCCGAGGCTCCCCGGCGCTGCGCGGCCGCCGCCCCCCCCGTGCGCAGGTGCTGCGGGAGGCGAGGGGCGGCCCGGCCCGGCCCGGAGCGGGTCCGGTCCCGGTGCGGGTCCCGGCGGAGCTGCGCTGATGTCACGCGCGGCCCGGCCCCGGGTCACGCGCAGCTCCGCCCGCCCCGCCCCGCCCCGCCGCCGGCCGGCGCGCCAGGCCCCGCCCACAGCCCCGCCTCCTTCGGTGTGTGGCGGCCGGAGGCCACTTCCGGTGTGTGCGGGGCGGCCGAGTCCGTGCGGGCTTGCGGGCGGCTGCGGGTCGGTTCCGGCCCGGGTTGAGGCGCGATGGCGGCGGGGCGCGGCTGGGCGGGCGCCGTCCTGCTCCTCGCAGCGCTCTGCCTGCAGCCGCCGCCCGCCCGGCCCCGCGGGCTCCGCTTCGTAACGCTGGTGAGGGGGACGGGGCGGGACGGGACGGGACGGGGCTGCCCTGCCCTGTCCCGGTGCGCGGTGTGACGCGGTGCCGCCCGCAGGTGTACCGGCACGGGGACCGCTCGCCCATCAAGGCCTACCCGCGGGACCCCTTCCAGGAGGACGCGTGGCCGCAGGGCTTCGGGCAGCTCACGCAGGTGCGTGCGGGGCCGGGCTGGAACCGGGACCGGGAGCGGTTCCCGGGCTGTCAGTAACGGGCGGTGCCGTTGCAGGTGGGGATGCGGCAGCAGTGGGAGCTGGGCCGGGCCCTGCGGCAGCGCTACCGCGGCTTCCTCAGCCTGATGTACCGGCGGCAGGAGGTACCGGGGCTCGGGGGGCTGCGGGGAGCGGCTTCCCTCGGCGGGGGAACGCCGGGGCCGGGTCTTGTCTCGGGGTTTGTGTTTCCCAGCCCGTCTCCACCGCAGGCGGGAGCAGAGGCACCGCGCAGCGGGGCTGTGGGGCTGCCGGAGCCGCCGGCTCGGGCCGCAGGGGATACACCAGGCGCGCTGTGCGGTGGCCGGTGCTCCCCGCTCGCTCCAGGCTGTAAGGTTATTGCGTGTGTATGTGCGTGTCACGTCGGCTGAGAAGAATGCAACCTGTGTTGGCTCTGTGGGGCACTCCAGGTACGATCCCATGGGTGTCTGTACACACAAGCAGTAGTTACTAACCAGCAGTGACCCTCTCATTTGTTTCCACCTATAGAGGACCGATGGTTTCAGTCCCCCAAAGCTATTAATTTCCCTCTCTCTCTCTCCAGGATGTTGCCACACTTTACAGTAGCTCTTGAGACATAGGTAGGTTTCTTGTGTAAAGAGTTGTGGGGCCCTGGTGGAACCATGTGCTGAGCACAGGGGAAAACGTGAAACATCCACAAATGGAAGGAAATAAAAAGCCCTCCCCAAATACTCCTGATGGGTGTGAGTCACCGGGAACATGAGCAAGTGTCACGATGGGAGGCTTGCCATCACGGGGTTTGGGTGGGCACCGGGCAGGCAGACCCTGTGCCCCACTACTGGCTCTGCATTGGCTCAGTTGTTTTATCCGCGCTCACTTAGGGGGATTGACCACACTGAGAGCCCCTCTACAACTTTCTGTCGTCGCTTCCCCCCTTTTCAGGCTCCCCAGTGCATCCCCAGCCTGCCACAGTTCAGGCTGCACCCCTTCCTTGACATTTGCTTCATCAACAAAACTTCCCGAATCGGCTCAACCAAGATCCTTTAACATTCCTCAGCGGTTCCTTTCCAAACATACTTCATTCCTATAAAGCTTTTGCCCACGGAATGTTTTCCTTCCCATGTTTGAGAAGGAAAAACAAACCCAGGGGTATGCAAACAAAAGCTGTTCTGCAAACCAAGCCCGAAGCCCTGCTCCAGTTGAGCAACCTCCCTTAGAAGAAGCGTTGCCTCTGGGTGACACCCTGTGACCATCTATCACCTGACTCAGCGACAGGCTGGAGCCCTGGCAGAGGGGCTGAAGGAGGCACCCAGGGCTTGATCAGCTCTTGCAACACTTCCACCATTAGATCCTTATCCACTAGAATATTTCCCTTCTGTTTCTCCATAGCTGACCATGGATGGAAGCAGCCCTGGGTAGGGAGCGCAGGGGCAGTGGTTTTCAAGCCATAGTTACAAGTGGGTAGAAACCATCAGAGAAAAGGCAACTTTTTGTTTTCCTAGCGACTGTTTTGAGGCACCCTTCACATGAGGGATGCTCCACACAGTGAGCATACATAGTTTTCTCTCCTCATTTAACATTAAAGAAAGAATTCCCCATCTTGACATTGTATTCCATTCTTCTGGCTTTTTATTCGTGTTGTTTCAGGTTCAGCATCCTGGTTTCTAGGTCATGCCTTCATGATTTCCTGTGTGTTCCTCATGTTTTCTGACTGGTTGCTCTCCAGTCTCCCCCCAGGTGTTTTCAGCACACGGATGCCACAATACCAAAGTTTTACCATTTTGACCTGCTGAACTTCTCAGTATTTTTCTTGTTTCTCTCTTTTCTCTGGCTCAGATCTCTCCCTCTGAGCTCTGGAATGAGAAAGTCTTGGTCCATCAATACCAAGAGTCCACAAGGATCAAATAAAATCCCAGCTCCCCCTTTTCCTTCTCTCCCATTAATCAATCACTCTTGTCTTCATTTCATAGATGGGAAAGTGTGGAGAAGCCTTTTCTGCATCTCACTCTTGCTCTTATAGAATCCCAGACTGATCTGTGTTGTAAGAGACCTTAAAGCTCATCCAGTTCCAACCCCATGCCACAGGCAGGAACACCTTCCACTAGAGCAGGTTGCTCCAAGACCCTGTGTCCAACCTGGCCTTGAACACTGCCAGGGATGGGGCAGCCACAGCTTCTCTGGGCACCCTGTGCCAGCACCTCAGCACCCTCACAGGGAAGAGCTTCTTCCCAGTGTCCAATCTAAATCTCCTCTCTAGCAGGTTAAAGCCATTCCCCTTGTCCTGTCACTACTACTTCTACTACTTGTCCAAAGCCCCTCTCCAGATTTCCTGTAGCCCTTTTATGCACTGGAAGCTGCTCCAAGGTTTCCCATGAGCCTTCTCCAGGCTCAACAAGCCCAGCTCTCTCAGCCTGGCTCTGGAGCAGAAGTGCTCCAACTCTTCTTTTACTCTTCTCCATATTCAGACTCCTCTCTACCTGTAACTCCCGCACAGCACCTGCCCATCCCACTGATCCAGAACAGCCCACTGCAGTGTTACACACCCAGTTGTCTGTGTATCTGCCCATGCAGTTTTGGCCAGGCTGACATCAGCAGACTCAGTCCCTTCAGCTCCCATTATCTTGTTGTCTGTGAGCAGCTGCAGGGTGCTTGGCAACATTCCTCAGCGAGTGCATCCAAGGAGCATCACCGCTTACACCAGTGTTACTAATGGTGCACTGTCCTGTCCTGGCAGATCTTCGTCCGCAGCACAGACTATGACCGGACGCTGATGAGTGCGGAGGCCAACCTGGCAGGAATGTATCCCCCCGAGGGAGCACAGATCTTCAACCCCAACATCTCCTGGCAGCCTATCCCTGTGCACACAGTGGCCAAGTCTGATGAAAGGGTAAGTTAGGCTCAGGGATACGTACTCACTACCCCGTGTTGTTATGCTGACTTCCCCAAAAGTCTTTGCTTCAGTCTTGATTCAGGTTAAATTCCTCCTGGGACCTCTTTGCAAAGGTTCTTCTGTCCTCAGATGAGAATTCAGGGGTTGTGTTCACTCAGCATGTTAGATACAACACCCCAGCAGCCCGTGGATGACCTCGAGTACGCCGAAGGCAGGACTTGAGGCTGTTTAGAGATGCCTCCTGCTCATCAGGGTTTCGTTACAGTTGCACTTTTGACAGCAAGTTCTGTGCTTCCATGTTCAAGCTGCTGTTGTTGTCTCTGTCCAGCTACTGAAGTTTCCTTTGACCCCCTGTCCACGGTATGAACAGCTACAGAACGAAACCCGGCACTCAGCAGTATACATAAATAAGACCAAAGAGAATTGGGTAAGTGATTGTTTGCATGAGATAAGGTGGTCTTAGGCTTGTAGTTAAAGTATTATCACCTCTACATCATAGCTCTGGGAAGAGGGTGGGAATACCTGTGTGTGTAATACAGCATAAGGTTTGAAAACTGAAGGCCTTTCTCTTTTCTCATACCTACAGCCATTCCTGCAGATGGTGGCAAATGAGACTGGGATCCAGGATGTCTCTCTCGAGGGTGTTTGGAGCGTGTACGACACACTGTTCTGTGAAGTAAGTTGGGCCATCACCGCACAGCCACTGGAATTTGGTCTGTGGGACTCTGGATTTTCCTTTGAAAAATTACTTTGCAAAACCCCATAAAATCTCCAAAACCTCTCACCATTCCCACCCTGCAGTTACAAATAATGATTGCAGAATAACAACAGTTCTCACTCACTAAAGGCATGTGCCAGGACTTACCTGCTTGGCACTCTGTAACCTCCCACTTTGTAGCTTAGGTATCATGCCAGAGCCAGAAAAAGTTCCTCCTGCATAATAAATACCTCTTTTGCAAGTCACTAGAAACAGCCACAGGTGAAATCTTTAGATCTCTGTGGGCAAGGCTGAGTTGAGACTGTATGCACGTGGAGTTTTGTTGAAAGCCTGTCTTGTGAAGGCTTAAGCCAAATAAAAGATCGGGTTTAGCTGTGCTTTGATAGTGCTAAAGTAGAGGTTATGTATCCAGGAGACTTACAGTGCTCACACACAAATTTATTTGTGTGTAACAATAGAGTTCTTTCATGTCAAACTAACTGAATGTGAAGGAAGCCATAAACCTGAGCAGTCTGTCATGCTAATCCTGTGGAGGTGCAAGACTCCTTGGCTTGCTGGCAGTGGTACACAGTGGTATGTACTATTTTGGGGATGTGAAAGATGAATCTGCATGGAATTGCACTTTGCTATGTAAAGCAGCAGCTTGAGTTGCTGCAGGCTGAGAATATTCCAGTCCAGAGCTGTGTTGCACTGTGTAAATTTGCCCTTTGATACACAAACCCCATCTCCTCTCCTGGAACAGTGAATCAGAGTGAAACAACTTCTGTTAGTAACAAAAATCATTTGGTCAGAGAGATCAAGAATATCAAATCTTCTTCAAGACTCAGTGAGCTCACACACTGGGCCCCAAAGGCCAGCTGACAGCCCCTGTAATCCCCAAGAACCTCCAGAATAGCTTCCCAAAATGAAACCATTGTGAACAAGGGGAGTTTTTGCTCTCAAAACTATACCCTCAGGTCTCACCTGCTTTGGGCTTCTTCCTTTTTCCTAACTCATACAAACACTGCCCTAAGAGGAGGATTGTTTTTTCTCATCTGAGCCAGTAACTTCATTCTACCATAAGAAATAGCTCAGCTTCCCAGCCATTCTCATTGTAATTTACTGAAAAGCTAACTAAATACCTGCGTTTGTGATGGGAGTTTCTCCACACCACTCCGAATGGGCCCTTAAGGATATTCAGCTTCATCTTCTGGCAGTTTAACGGGATGTGGCATAGAAAATTGCTCCATGTAATGCCAGGAAACCACAACTGCTGTTTGCCTGCCAGGATAACTAATCCTTTCTTGTAATGGGTTGGCTGCAAAGCAAATTCTTCCCTTGGTTCCCAGTTCTGTGTGTTCTGGGTTGGCGTGCGGGGCTTTGTAAGTGGTGCATCCCAGTGTTAGGTCTGTAAAGCACTTGCTAACCTTCTCCAGGATCCTTCAGCGGCCCTCAGAGCCACCAGGGCAGTGGTACCCCGGCAACCTCGAGTTCATGCTCGCTGCCTTATCTTTTCTGTTGGGTTTTGTGTTTGGTTTTCTTCTTGACTGCATGCTATCTGCAGGGCAGAATCAGCCACATGTAAAGTAAACGCCCCAAGATTATTGTTATCAGTGGTACAACACGATCTGGCACTCGAGTTGTGCTTTCACAGGAGTGTAGCTCCTACATTTTACTCTTCATGCTTGTCATTAGTAATTTCTGGAACAACATTAAACTCTGCATCTATTCTCTGTACACAGCACAGCAGTGTGAGGACAGAAGAATAGGAAAGGGGCGTATTTAACACAATACAGGAACCCAGAAGCAGGATGGGCAGGACTCCAGACCCCCTGACTCCCATCCTCTGATCAACCTGTGCTCCATGCTACCTGCAGATGAGTGTTGTGTTTCTCTTTCTAGCAAGTACACAAAATGGACTTGCCTGACTGGGCGACACCAGATGTCATGACTCGACTGAAGCAACTCAAAGACTTTGGGTTTGAATTTCTGTTTGGGATCCAAGATCGGGTAGAAAAAGCTCGTCTGCAAGGCGGTGAGTGTACCAGGAGGGACCTTCATGCTGCTCTGTCTAGTTTCAGCCTCTTAGTAGCTGTTCCCTTCCTTCAGGGGTCCTGCTGGGTCACATAAGGAAAAACCTAACCAAAGCAGCAGATGTTTCAGCCCACCAGGACCTGAAACTGCTTGTCTATTCAGCGGTAAGTCAGAGCTCAGGGGCTTTTATCCATCTCCTCCTCCTTACAGGGAGCTTGGGCTTGGTGATAAGTTTTAACCCTTTCTGGCTTCTCTACAGCCTGCAGTGATCAGGACATGCACCTTTGCCCCTGGCTGGGTGGGGTGTGCAGAATCTGGCATCATTCCCAAGCTGCACTTTGTTCCTATTAGCTCCGGCTTGTGGATAAGCCACTGCTGTGTTTATTTGGTAGATGGGTTGATGCTACTCAGATATTTCCACAGTGAGGCAGAGTCATTCCCCGTTCCCAGCAGCTGACTGACTGGAAAGTTGAGTGTCTCCCAAATTGCTCCCTAGAGATTAATTCTTAAAGAACCATTCAGGATACACAATCATGTTTCACTTCCTCCCCTGGCACCATCACAGATCACCACTCTAGCAGTACAGGTCCTCTCCCATCTTCCAGATGGAAGTTGCAAAGGTGACATCCCCTCAGCACTTCCCTGTCCGTTACTGGTACAGACTGAGCTGCCACATCCCTAAGGGTGACTGATTTGGTTTTTTTCCCTCTTCCTCAGCATGACACTACACTTGTGGCACTGCAGATGGCTCTAGATGTCTACAACAAGATTCAACCACCATACGCCTCATGTCATTTATTTGAGCTGTACCAAGAGGATGATGGGTGAGGGCTGCAGTAAAGACGTCTGCTGTGATTTCACTTCAAGGGTTAGATACCTTAGGCCAGGCTCCACCCTAGGGGGATGCAAACTTGCTCTTAGTGGCAGACTTAGGAGGAAAACTACCACCAGAGTAAAGGAAAGCGTGTGCACACTGAGGTTATGGGAAGGGATGACTTCAGCTGGAGAAAGAAGAACAAACCTAAACATGTGGCTGTTTCGTTTTCAGTAACTACTCTGTGGAGATGTTTTACCGGAATGAGAGTGGGAGGGAACCTTTCCCACTGACAATCCCTGGCTGTCAGCATAAATGCCCACTGCAAAGGTTCTTGGAACTCACGGATCCTGTTATTCCCCAGGACTGGGAGCGAGAATGCCAGGTAGCAACCATCGTGCACGACACAGGTGAGCCCATACTGGACCCCAGCGTGGCAGAAGGGAGAAACTTGGCTGATCCCATGTTGACCACTTGTTTTCTCCCTTGCAGAACTGTTTGTGGGTCTGGCTGTCTGTGGATCCATTCTCCTTCTCCTCATAATCCTCCTCTTGACTGTACTCTTTCGCATACAGTCCCAGCACCCTGGCTACCGGCATGTTTCCAACGAGGGAGAAGAACAGGCCTGACAGTTGCTTCGACTCCTTCCCAAGCAGTAGGAGGGAGCAGAATTGCCCCTAAGGATGATTGGGCACCTTCAGTTACTGAGCATTCTTTTGCTTTGGCCTTTGCTTCCCAGAATGAAGCAGGACTTGATTTTTGGATTCTTGCTAAAGGCAACGTCCCAGAGGGGGAGAACTGAGCTGCTCTAATGGAAATGACACCTTAATTCTGCAGCCAGTGTACTGTGTGGTGCCAGCAGTCCTCTAGAGTTCACCTAGCCTGGGATTCCCAACATGGCCAGTGGGAGCTGGGCAAGGGTTTTCCTCTGTTGAAGTGATTGTAAATGTTACCACTCACCATGACTGTGGCAGAGGGGCCTCCAGGAGCTGCCGCATGCAGTGCAGTCAGGAGCTGCGTGTCTCTTCAGGGTCAACCTCCTCCGAGTGCTTTTCCCTCAAGCCATGGGCTGGTGATGGTGGTGGGAAGGCTGGGCTCAGAGCAGAGCAGCAATGCACCAAGACTCATCTACTGGCCATACAGAGGGAGCTGCTGCTGCAGATGATGGCAGACGGTCAAAAGTGTTTCTTGAAGTTGCTGCCAAGTAATTGCTACTGGCAACTGGTCTTTCTTTCCCTCCTCACATTGTAGCTCAAGAGAGGACTGGCCTGGAATCAGGACAAGACTGGCAGTAGTTTCTAGGATTCAGCTCAGAGTAGGTTACATATGATCCAAAGAAGCTCTAAGTGCTTCATTTGAAGAAAGAGATGAATTCCTTGGGTAAAGATTCAGCCTTTGAATTTCACTTACCATCTCTGAGCTTCAGGTACCTACGACAGCAACAGCCAGTTCCGCAGGCAGTCCAGATTTCAGCTATGAGCCGAAGGAAGACACTTTACCAGCAGAACGGTTTTATGCTGGAATTAAAGAGATGTAGCAGAGCTGTACCTAAGACTAGATTAAATGCCAGGGTCTGTAGTTTTCCTTCCTACCTTTCCCACTGGATGGACAACAAACAGAAACCGCCCACCCTCACTTGCCCCGGGGTTTGGCATTTTGTCCAAAGCGTGGTTCTGTTTCTGGGCTGGCCTCTGTATGCAGTGCAGCTGCTGCAGGCGCTCCATGCCAAGCACTCACCACCTGGCCCTGGAGCTCTTGGCAGGAAAGGAGAGACTGCGGCAGGCACCAGGAGCACAGGCTCTTCACATGGTGATGCTGCACATTCACTTCCCACTTTTACTTCCCTTTCTGGTGCACTTCCCTTCCCCTCTTGGCGGCTGAAGCCTACTCTTAGGTTACAGACGTTTCCTTTTCTTCCCCTATTGGAGTACCATGGGAACTTCTCCCTCCACCATAACTAGCATCTCCTAGCATGGGAACACTAAATCAGCAGAAGCAGCTTGCTGTTCTCAGCATCTTCCTCACCTTTCTGTCCTCTGAAAATATAATCTAGGTCTTCTGCACAGCAAGACAGTCATGAAGAAAAAGCTACTGCCCATGAGAACACGCACAAGAGGTAATAGAAAGTGCATTGAAGAGGCCCAGACCTGTTTTTTAAAGTCAGCAAATTTTGCACACAGAGGAAAGGTTTCTATGATGATTTAAACACTTTGACTGTGAATGATTTTCTGTAATTGTTCCGATACATTTCATGATTAAAATCAAATTTGCACCTAACTACTCCTCATCTTCTCTAAGAGCTCACAGGGCACTAGCGTGCTCAGTGCTGGAAAACAGGCAGTACTAACTGCAGTGCACCCCATCCCAAAGTCACTCCCTGAGCTACAGTCCCCCTTACAGCAGAGAATTCAAACTACTTTTGACTACAGCTAGAACTTATAACACAACCCACCCAACCTGGAATGGTCTGTTGCAGACACAGTGCTATGATACTTCCACAACTGTTCTAGGTCTCTGTTTGCTCCTGCAGAAGGATCCAACTCCTGCTCCTGTATAAAGCAGTCCAGCAGGATGCTCAAAGCAGCCACTCTGTATTGAGGAACTTTAGTACAAAACTTTATTAATATCAATACTGCGAAACTATAAAAGTGAACACAGAGAATGTGAGCAGGCCTGGAGCCCGTCCCAACCCCTGGGACGGCAGCAGGGCCCCAGGCAGCCTTGTAAACAAACTAGAAAAAGCAAAACCTTTCAGTTTAACAGCAGTCTTGAGATTTGGCTCTGAGCAGGGATGTTTCAAAGATATTCCTCACATCTGCTTTACATCACCTTTTAGCCAATGCTCTGAAGCACAGAGGCATGGCTGCAAAAAACTCCCATTAATGGCAAGAAAAAGCCTAGAGCTCTGACAACAGGAACTACAGCATCATACTGCCCTTGCATCCCATGAAGTGGATAGAGAGCTCTGGCAGCATCATGTTCTTAATGGTCTAGTTTAACAGCTGCAAGCACAGAATAGGCTAAGCCTGAGGTCTTGATACACATTCTCCAAGCCTGCATACAACAGAGTCTGATGTTCCCTGAGGTACCCGCTGCCTCACCCCTGTGAACATTCCACCTTTTCAGGATGTTCATCTTGTTAGCAAAGGGTTTCTCAGCACAGTTTGACTAGAACAGGCTGGGGACCCTGTCAGGAGCTGCTCCACAGCAGACTGCAAGAGGTGGTAACCTCTGACAAGTGATGACAAGCAGATGTGGCAGGCTGGAAGCAGTCACTTCATCAGGATGTGAGAACACCTCTGAAGTTTTCCTAATGCCTCAGAAAGTGGGTAGTAACTCCCCATGGAGGAGGATTGAGTACTGACACAACTGTCTAGAAAAGGAAGCAACGAGAATGAGGGAAGCAAGATCAGATCCAGGGAGGAAGGACAAAGTAGAAGTCTAATGCCCTGCACAGCTTATAGTGCCCAATGCCAACACTGAACTTGTACCCTGTGATCCAGAAAGGACCAAAATACTGAATCAGTTCCCCAGATCCTTCCCTTTTGACTTCCTTCCCTGGGATTTTGTGATTTAGAACCGTTGCTTTTTGTTCCCATCTCCTCCAGCTCCCAATACAAGGTTAGCTTTGAGTTTCTTTGTCCCAGGTTTTGCCTGCCTCTGTCCTCCACATCTGGACAAACTCCAGCTTCCAATGCCCTGTTCTGTCATGGCTTTCAAAAGATGTTCTTGCTTCTTGGCCACCATCTCCTCCCGGCTCCAGATCAGAATATTAAAGCCTGAGAGGAAAAATCAAACACTGTGCATCAGAAACTCTGCACTGCACAGAATACCTTAAGCTATTTAAGTGCCATTTTTAATGCCAGAATCCAAAATGCTTTGTCTGTTCTAGTGTCCCAGGTTCTCTTTTACTTACCCATGCCAGAAGCCAGCGTGTCTCCCATAGGGTTAAATTTATTGAGCTGAAAATGGAAACACAGAGTCTGTAAGAGCATCACTGCTTATATAACACGGTCATAAGAGCACCACAGCTTATAGAACAGCAATAAACCATCTGGAAAACCCAGTGTTCACTAAAGAGTATCACAAAAACCCCACAGATGACCATGGAACAACCCTGCTCGAGTCAGCAGCTTCAGCTGGCAGCCCCATGAGAGCATGAGTCTGTTACAAGTAAATAGGATGCTCCTGTTGTTCTAGACCCTAAGCCGTGTCCCTCTGCTGTGGCTCAATACACAGCAACCCTTTTACCTGCAGTGCTCAACTCACCGAGATGATGCCAGAAGCGTTTGGGTCATAGAGCTGACAAACCATCTCCCCAGTGTTTCCATCAAATACATCAACAGTTCGTAGCTCATTCACTGTGTATCCCGGGAACTTGGGGTCTGGGTAGCGACCTGCCACAATGAGGTCGTAGCGAGGATGCCACGTTGCCTGGTCACAGAGCAGAGCAATGGGGGGTTAGGAGAAGGGGACAGAGATTGTACTGAAACACACCAGACAACTGGTAGACGGAACAACGGTTTCTACATCCCATCCACAGCTTGAGGAATGTGAGTATCCTCACAACAGCGCTCCGCTGGGAGTTGCAGAAGTGTGACCATCCACCCACCAGTGCAGTATCCCGACCAGAAACCAGACCATTCCTGATTTATAGCCATCCCTTAATACAAGTGTGATACTCTTCTCAGGCTGCAGTGGCTTAACTCACCTTAATAGGTGTGAGGTGCTGAAACTGCCGATGTGGATGTGGGATCAGATGCTGCGGCTTGGTCCAGTCTGAAGACGAGTAAACCCTGATTTCACTGTGCTGGTCTGTGCTTAGGAGCTTGGCACCATCTGTTGGGCTGAAGTAAGCTAGGGGAAGGGAACAGGAAGGCAAACAAAAGATCACAGTGCTGTGACTGACGACAAACACAGACATGACATTTCTCTCGTTGGAGACCCATTGCTATTTCTTTAATAGGGATGTGAATATGGCCATGTGTCCCAACAGACTTTTCCTGTCTCAAACTCAAAGCTATTACAATCAGTAAGCTGCAACTTACAACACAGGGTTACAGAGGAAGAACAATTATTCCCATTTTAGAATGGCGGAAAGAGACACTGCAAAGAAAGGAACTTGCTCGCTCAAATGGAAAGTTAGTGGGAAAACTGCAAACAGACACCTGCAGTTCAGACTTCATTGAACTGATAAAACTGCACCCAGGAAAACAAGAAGTCTGAGTCCCAAGCTCTGCTTTTGTCAAAGGAACTGTCCCAGTAAATTGAGTTTTCTGATCTCAGCCATTGCTGATGCTACCATACTGTCACCCAGGACACATACCTCTCAAAGCACAGTGCCACAGGTCTGTATGGCAAGTCTGACCGTGCTGCAGCTGCCCTACCCACCTCCCTGCCTCCAACCACACATTCCCAATGCCCTCCTTGCTTCCAGCTACTGCACGACTGCAGGTCTGAGTGAAAGCTACACTGCCACAGCAATAAAAGCTGAGCTGAACGGACTCTGCACACATCCGTGCAATGAAATTCTTAACTCACCTGCATTGACAGGTTTCTCATGAGGAAGCAGATGAAGAACACTCATTTTGTTTTTGATGTTTCTGAGGTCCCAGATTTTGACTGTCTGATCCACAGACGCTGTGGCCAGCAACCACTCACATCGGGAGTTAAACTCCACATGAGTCACTTTCTTCTTGTGCAGTTTCAGCTTCCAAATCTGCAGCAGAGAAAACAAGAAAGTCACACAGAAAAAAAGTAACCAAGGTCTGGAGTAAGGAAATGGAACAATTCTACTAGTGCGGAGTAAAGAGTCTCACGTTCAGAGAGTAACAAAACTCATAAAATACACCTCGAGTTTATCCACTGGGAAAAAGAAAGGAAAAGAATGACTCTGGGAACTATTTAATTCTA